CATATATATTGCTCCTTTTAATTTCATATCTTAAATTAATTTCTTATTTTCTGAAGAGTTCGGATAAAAATTGCTATTATTCAACAATTCAAGAGCGGTAATATTTTAACCTTCAATATTTCGACCCATGAATTTTACCATCTTCCTCGGGTGTATTTCGCATACTAAACACCTAAAATTTAATTAAATTTAAAATTTTCTTTAATAATGAAAATATCGTTTTTAATCTGTCACGTTAATAGAAATGCATTATTTCTCTTTTATATTTACATATATATATATATATATATATATATATATATATATATATATATATATATATATATATATATATATATATATATATATTATACTTTTATATATATATATATATATATATATATATATATATATATATATATAAATATATATATATACACACAGAGAGAGACACACATATATATATATATATATATATATATATATATATATATATATGTGTGTGTGTGTGTGAAAAGTCACACATATATACAGGGGTGCGGCATAAATATTTACGACGCCTTTTTGACGCTGCATCCGAGCGAAAGCTGGCCAGGCGTAGCAGAAATCTTATTCATGTGGATGTGGGAATTTGGATTCACAAGCAGTCTTCAGTTGCATGTAATACACGCATTTAGTATAATGCGATTGGGTTTGAATTCAGATGCGCCAAAAACACCTCCCACATAATGGTAAGACCTTAGTGGAAATGCTGTTTTCATCCAACGAATGTCTTAATATTATGTGAGGGTATTTTTGAGACGTATTTCTGTCGCACCCTGTATATCTGAAGAAGTAATTTTTTTTTTTAAATTTAATAATCCGTCAGATTTTATCACTTAAACGATATTTTTAGTGGATACCTATAATATATATATATATATATATATATATATATATATATATATATATATATATATATATATAAAATATATATATATATATAATGAAATGTCGCACACACACACATATATATATATATATATATATATATATATATATATATATATTAGGTATATACACGTATGAAATGTCATATATATATATATATATATATATATATATATATATATATATATATATACATTCTATCATGTTTGATTGAATAATCTGGACATATTATGTCTATTTATTTTATTTTACTGTTAATATTAAATTCAGTAAAGAATTTCTATGATACCAATGTTTTTACAATTATATTATACTAAATTATATTATATTAAATTATATTATATTAAAATTTTAATTATATAAATTAGCTCCCTTAGATCAAAACATGAAAAAACATAATAGCATTAACAGTTAATTTTTAAATTCATTAAAACAAACTGCGTTTCATGCGTATTTACAAAAAATTTACAACTATCAATTACATTCACCCGTGAAGATGATCTTGCATGCGATTGAAAGTACTTGAGAAAATAAAAGAAATGAAAAGCTACTACCCGTTCTTTACTCAATTTAATATCAACATTAAGAAGTTCATCAGAGAATTCGAGAGCATTAAAATCACTAGACATAATATCTCCAGATTATTCAACCAAACATACTTGAATGAAGATAAGATGGCTATATATATATATATATATATATATGAATAAAGACAAAAGGAAAACTTATAGCTTTCCTTATATTTTACAACAGTTATTTATAAATAAAAGTAAAAATGCTGTTAGTTTTTTTTTTAATTTGAAATTAAAAGATGCTCATAAATATTCATCAGGTTAGCTGAAAAGTTAAAGGAAATTATGAAGGATGCCAAGTAACGTAGTTTAATGTCTAATAAACGAAAGTGAGGAAATCTTATTCAATTTCTTTTACGCAATTACATTTTAAACTAGTTTAGCTTAGGATTAATTAATATGTTATGTATTTTAAATAACATGAGGTTATGAATTGAAAGTTTTCCATGTAATTTTTTACCATTTTTATAGTCATTTATGTTGGTTTGGAAAAGACTTGATTCTCTCAGCAATGGAATGATTTGGAAACATCCGAGGCGCTGATTTATATTTTTCTAAATTTCGATAATGGCACTTTCGAGAATTTCCGTCTAATTAAGTTACTTTCTTTTTTAATATCCGTGGCATTCTTAAGATCAAGTTTCTGGTTGAAATTATTTCTGTTTCCCTAATGCACTTGATAAATTGTTGCGTATAAGATCCTTTGTATGTTTTTAGATACTTTTTTAAAAATTTCTGCTAGTTTACCTAATATATTGTGAGGAGCAGTTGTGACAGTTTATTTTATATATACATCCTTCAAAATTATTATTGTTATGAGTATTTTTGGTTCTGGTCATATCCAGAATAGTTTTCGATGGGGTTGTAATTATATTGATGTTGTTGTGATTGGATTAATTGTTTTAGATATTAGATGTTAAGGAATTAGTATATGTCTATTTTTTATCTAGTTTATTGTCATTGTTGTTAATATTATCTTTTTGCGGTTGTATCTTTTGTTTGCCTTTCTCTTAGCATTGTGGGTGAAATATTAGTATATTATACGTTTTTGAAGGTGTTTTCCATGTATATTTCTTCTTCAGTTAAATATTGTGGGCTGCAGATTCTTAGTGCTCTTAAATAAGATCCTATAATTATTCCAGATTTTTTCCTGTTGTAGTGATGGGAATAAAAACTGATAAGGCAATTCTTCTTGGTAGATTTTTTGTAGATCTCCAACTGAAGGCCGTTATTAGTTCTATGTAACAGGATATCTAGGAAGGATTCAAAGGCAAAGTCTGTTGTGGATTTGTGGTTATTAAATGTGTTGACTGGATTGGATAAAACTATGTTTTGTAGATATTTTAATAGAGACTTATCTAAAATAAGAAGAATTTTGTGGTAAAATTTTTTGAAAGAACCACTTTCCAGAAATCCAAAAAGTAGACAAGCCAAATCATCACTAAGTGTAAACCGCATCGGTAAACCAAATATTTGTCTTTAAATTGTTATCGAAGGTGAAAAACATTGATTAGTGATTCATTGGCACATTCTTATGATCTTATGCGTAAGGAAGGGGTCATTTTATTTTTGCTTGGTGCGTTTTTAGTACATTTAGGCATTTATTTATGGGAACACTATATATATATATATATATATATATATATAAGCATTTCACTCCAAGCAAGGAAGGAGTGCTACTAGCAGACAGGAAATTACGTAGAGTGAAAATGAGAGAAAAAAATGGGTGTAAGGAGGATTCAGAAAGAAAAAAAGGACAAGGATCAAACCAACAGAAGATGGCGATTGACGGTGCATTTTAATTTTTGAAAATTGTAGTTTTCAGGGAAGCAAGTGAAGGAAGGAAGTTCCAATGTCGGAAAGTAAGAGGAAATAAACTGTTGGAGTAGAAATGGCGGTTACATTTAATTGTTTCAACAGTAAATGACTGAGACCTATATGTCAATCTAGTAACACGCTTAAATTCGTGCAGTCAGAGCACCAGGGGAAAAGCCTCGTCAGAGAAGAAGCTATGAAAATATTTGTAGAAAAGACATAAGGAAGGCACATCACGTCTGTGAGAGAGCTTCTAAAGTCGAGACGCTAATTCAGGACCGATTACATTAAATCCTTTTTTGTATTTTCTAGAGAATCTGGAGATGAACGGCAGGGGTATCAGACCAGATATGGTAACAGCATTCAATAATGATTTTATACCGAAACTAGTCGTATATTGGTTTTTCATTTATTTTTTTATATGCAAGAAGTAAACTGTACCAAGAAGTGGGGCTAGAATTTTGGCTAATGTGCCCACCAGTTTATGAGGAGCCTTATATATTCCTGATATAATGGGTCTCTTCTGGTTTATGTATTTTTGGTAATCCGTAGAGTATGGTTGTTTTCGGGTGATATTCGATGAGTTTTAACCAAGAACTGTCTTAATTTAAAAAAAAAATTGTTTCGTTTGTTAATTTTTGTGTCACTTTTATGAGCTTGTTCGTTTATTTTTTCATAAATATCATCACCTTCGAAAAAGAGTGATTTTTTGTTGATAAATGTGTTTATCCATAATTATATCAGTTACTCACTTTCGTTTATTAAATATTAAATTAAGTTGCTTATCTTCCTCCATAATTTACCTAGACTTTTCAGTTAACTTAATGAATATTTATGAGCGTTTCTTAAATTTAAAAAGTTGAAAAACTAACATTTTAACTTTTGTTTATAAATACTTGTTGCAAAATAAAATCCTTATATTTACCTTGATAAAGTCCATCAGAGGACAAAACGTTGTGATAAGTTTTCCTTTTCTCTTTATCCGTATTGTCCTTTTACATATATACATACACACACACATACACTCACACACACATATATATATAGTTATATCTGCAATTTTGCACACACACACACACACACACACACACATATATATAGTTATATCTGCAATTTTACACACACACATATTTTTATATAAAAATCTCACGTGTGCATATGTGTGTGTGATATAATGCAGCACAAAAATATGTTTCCAAAATTTATTGGTATTTTATGTAATAAATACAAAGTATTAAAATGTCATAATTGTTTATCTTAATAATTTTGATTTGAATAGACAAATATATAAATGTCACACATATACACGCATATACATGTGTATAAAATATATGGACAACAGCAATATATGCATGCATATCTTTTGAATTAATGGCATTTGAACGAATATTATTGATATATGTTAGATTTCGGTTACGCTTATCTTTATGGAAAAAATCGCTAAACACCTATCTAGATTCGTCTGAAACAGAGCCACAAAAATGACAGGCTGATTAGAGATTTGAACTCACACGACTAGCAATAGAATGCGGGACGAGATTAATAGATAAACCAATAAGCATATATATATATATATATATATATATATATATATATATGTATGTGTGTGTGTGTGTGCGCGTGTATTTTTAAGCTCCCAACAAAGCACTTGTTTCGACCTCCCTGCCTACCCCGATCTATTTATTAATCAACTCCTTTCCAGGAATGTATCATCTCTTTGAATCGTCGAATAGCGCTGACGGGCGGGGAAAGGACGTCAAAATTCTTTCACAGTCTTTCTTTTCAGTCATTCTCGTTACTGCTGAAACGGAAACCAACAGCAAAAAGAAGTTTCACTCCATTCACTTTCATTTTCCACTTAGATATATTCCAATCTTTTTCCTATTTCCCCACACCAAGATTTTTTTTCCTTTTTCTCTTTCGTTTCTTTCTTTCTATAAAATATCTAAAGAAGTTTTAATTTGTTTTTCACACATTTCCACTCTTTCTTTCTTTCTTTCTTTCTTTCTTTCTTTCTTTTTTTCAACTCTTTTCTTTTTCTGTTTACCCTTTTTATTTTTTTACAAATTTTAACATACTTTGCCTCTTATTTTTTATTTATTTTTCTTTCTTTATTTAGTTTCTTCTGCAAGTGAGCCTGATATTTTTTCATTTTTTACTCGCACTCACATCTTACTGCTTCTTTTTTTCTTTCAATATTTTTCATCCTGCTATTCTCTTTGTCTCATTCATTAATTCTTTCATTCTACTCATTCCTTTCGGCTCTAATTCTTATTCTTTGTTTATTTTCATTTGGGTTCTTTCATTTTCACTATATTTCTTTTACTTAATCTCATTCTTTTTTTTTTTTTTTTTACTTCTGATTCTTGTTTTATTTTTGCTTGGCCATTTGTTTTCATTCCTTTTCCCATTTTTTTCAATCCTTATTTCCCGCCAGTTTTTTGTTGTTTCCTGTTGTTTTTGTTTCTCAACTATCCATTTATTATTCTCTTGTATTTAAAACTTTGTCGGATTTTTTGCACTAAGCTTCATATTCCTGACAATCAACAAGAATCAGGTTTTCTTTCTTTATTTGCTCTCTTTCCTTTCTGCATTTATTGTAATAAATTCTTCCTTTTTTATCTTAAATCTTCTTTTTTCAGTTCATTTTTTTTCTTCATTCTTATTTTCATAATTCATTTTAGATTTCAATCTCTTTTTATAGTATTCTTTCATCAACTTTATTTCTTTCTTTCCGTTTCTCATTCGGTCATTAATTCTTTCTCGTACGTTTTAAATTATCCATTACTTCATTTATTTTTTTTCTTTCCATTCTTGCCATACATGTTATTTCTTTTCCTTCATTTCTCTCTTTTTCTCATTCACTTTTGTTGCATTTTTGTTCATATATATCATTTCATTCACACTTTTATTTTTGGATTATTTTCCATTCATTCTTTTTTTCTTATCCATTACTTTCGACCTCACTTTATTCTGTTATTTTCTATCTAGCTTTCATTTTTATTATTCTTTCTTTGTATCATTCTCTCCTTTCTTTCTTTTTCTTTATCATACTTATTCCGACCGCACAACATCTTTTTCCTTTCACTGTCTCATTCTCCTCCACGTATCCTTACACATTGAATCCCTTTCCCGGTGACGGCAATGTCTCTTAGCGAATTCCACCACAATGCACGTGTCATTACCTTCTGTCGTGCTTTTCAAAAACCGATTCTGCGGCCCGAGGCGATTTTCCAAACCTCGATCCGAATCGAGTTAATTTCAAAATCCACTCCGTCACCAGCTGCCGGCCATATTAGTGTTGCAACGTTGTCGTGCGACTGCGTTGTGACATGCCTGCGCTTCCGGTAGAGCTGAATGCTGAATGGTTGTCCACATCCTAACACAGCCAATGAGAGATCAACAGGAAAAAGAAAGATCAAATAAAGGGGGAATTTTGCTTTAAAGCGTCTATACCAGGAAAGCCTTTTTCAGATTGCCGATTTCTTTTATATATCATGAATACATACATACATAAGCACATCCTGGTATATATGCGCAAAAATATATACATAGGGTGATGAAAACTTCTCGGCCTGAACAATTTAATAAAAACTGAACAAATGTCGAAACATCAGAATTACAATTGAAATGAAATGATCGATATATATATATATATATATATATATATATATATATATATATATATATATATGAGGAAGATTTACATTCATAGACAGGTTTTTCCCATACTGCTTAATATTTTTAATAGAGCATAAATAATTTTGAATTTAAAACATAGAGAAATTACTTATATATTTATCGATAATTACAGTAATTTTTCTGTATTTTTAAAAATATAAAATATATATATATATATATATATATATATATATATATATATATATATATATATATATATATATATATATATATATATATATATATATATATATATATTATAATTTTTATATAAAAAATAACATAAGTATACTTATGTTATAATTTTTATAATATAATTATATATTGACTTTTGTATTGACCACTCTTTTAAGAATAGTAATTGTTGGTTATTGGAATTCATTCCGTATACCAACCAATTATATATATATATATATATATATATATATATATATATATATATATATATATATATATATATATATATATAGTCTGCGTTTCCTCTTTCATTGTATTTTCCACTATTCGAATAACAAGATGTTACATATCCAAGATATCAAAATTTTAAATAAACTGTCTAAAGTTCGTGCATTTGTTCTGTTTTTGCTCATGAACTTTCGAACCTCTAAGCCATTATCAAGTATTGGCAAGTTTTTTGTTGTCTATATTTTGGCAAGTGTTAAAACCCTATCATTCAAATATAACAGCATATGTAAGTAACATCAAATGTGGAACCGCTTAATAAACTAGGCTGCACTGGCAAAGAATGTGGCAAATATTTATTATTATTATTATTATTAATAATATTATAGACGCATATTACATATAAACACATTAAAATACGGTATCCTCTGATAAAGAAATTTCATTTTAATATATTGTTAGCTTTGTATAATAACAATTTCAATTATTTTGCGCATTTCCTGTTGTATTGATGTATTTTGGTACCGTCTTCTAATATTTGTTTTCTCTTATTTTGATTGCGTATGTATGGTCGATATGTACACGAATTATTTCTATAAATAACAAGTTAACTGAGGAGAGAGTGTGGTGCATATGTGGTCAGTCTACGGGAATTAATACTGTTTTCCGATTATTGAAACACAGGTACTAGGACGATCACCAAAGTTAAGTGACGTCGAGCCTGGTCAGTACCTAGATGGGGGAAGTCTCGGGAATACCAGGTTCTGTAAGCTTGGATATGCGGGTGGTGTCATGGATAACGGAATGTGTAATCGTAGAGACGAGATCGAATACTAGTTTGGTTCGTTACACTCACTTATGTGCAAATACCCTTGGGAAATGTATGAATCCACTGCTTCTCCTCCTAGCTATGGATTAAATAGTAAAACTTGTTTCAGATGATTACTATCTGAAAAAAAATTCTTATAACTCAAAAATATTTTTGGCTTTAAATAACCTTAAGAATAGGTTAATAAACCGTAAAAACCAAACCAATCAATCAATCAATCGATTATTGATATTGGAAATGAGATCTCCAATAAGAATTGAAACTTCATAAACTACATTGTTTTTAAATAGTGAAATTGAGTTTCGAGGTTTTGGTAATAATTAGGGTTGAGCCTTTTAACTTATTTTTAATAATAAAGGAAAACTCTAAGATATTTTTTAGAATCATTAAATGATGTGTATGTGCCAAATAATGTTTAATGGCTTTTTTTATCTTTTATATTTATAAAATAGTTAAAAGTTATGTATATTAGGATTTATACTAATTTTACTTTTGTATTTATTAGGATGCTTGTTTGTGCCATTTTTCCTAAAGTTCTTTAAAGCCAATTTTATTTTATTGTAAAGACAAAGTTGACAAAAATATTTTTGATAAGTTTTTTCTCATTTTTTAAAATAAAATAATGAGTCCTTAAGAATAAAATAATTTTGCTCGATTAATGATACTTTTGTAACTTTCATTTTTTATTTACTTTTGCAGATAAGAAAACACGATGTTTTGTTTTTTTTTCTTTTTGTTTGTTTGTGGGTTTTAAAACGGTGAATGAGTAAAATAATGACTGGTGGATTTTTCTAAAACATTAAATAAAGTAATTATATTATTAAACTTATATTTATGTGTAGAACGTTTTTTTAGGGTTTCTTTATGTGTTTTATTTAGTTTTATTTTTTAGCATCATCATATTATGAATATATAGAACTTAAAGGTGTTGTGAAATGATTAATAAAGTTTTCTAGGTGAGTCACGTAGAAATCAGATTAAATAAGACTGAAAAACGAACCGATTAACTAGGCCGCCAGTCTGTGTATAAATGTTATACATTAATCCTAAAAATGTTCTTTCGTCGTGCAAGAAACGAGTAGTCTGGTATTATGAGGAAGGAGCGAAGAAGGTTTATATAAGTTTAATATCACTGTATCTATAGTTCCTTTGATGGGGACATTAGTAAAGAGATATTCTACATTTAACGAGACGAGGGTGCCATTATCGGGTTTATTTGAGTGCAGTAATTCAAGAAATTCATGGAGGAATTAACAATATCTTTACAGGATAAGTAATGATGGGATCAGTTAATTCTCAAGTTTAAAGGAAATAGAAGTCCATAAAAAGACAACATATTTCGAAAACACCAGAAGAAAAATAAAAGAGGGGAAGAGCCGAAAGAAATGCCAGACGAGCCCATTCCCTGAACCCTGCTACCCTACCATGCGATGGCTGCGGACGTCACTTCAGATCCAACGGACAAGGAAATGTCGATGAACAAGTTCCGCCAACAACGATATATATATATATATATATATATATATATATATATATATATATGTGTGTGTGTGTGTGTGTGTATTATTCCAACAGAGTTTATTACTTAAACGTTGAGAAAAAATATTCACTCTACGGCAGAGAGGCATGTAGACGAAAACAAAACAAAACAAAAAACAGACCGTGTATTCAAATATGGATATCCACTAAAAAAAACGTTTCAGTAATAAATAATATATATATACTAGCAGCATGGCCCGGCGTTGCCCGTGCTTGATTCAAAAATCGTACGACTCATACAGCAATCGCTATCACTTGACTTAAAATATTTTTGCCCTTCCTTGCCTTTAAAGGAGTGCCCTTTGCCGTGCTGATGTTGCTACATGCCTTACTTTTTACTCACACTGCGAATTTTTTCGAAGCTCTATACTAAACATTAAATCTGTTACGAAAAAAGAACTAAACAAAATGAACCCAAAACGATCAGCTTTAAAAAAGGACTCGTAACTGAAAAGAGAATGGTAACAACAAATACTTTTTCACATCCTACCCAGTTCTGCGGAATCAGTATCAACGTTTAGTTTAAGCAAGCGAATGAGCCAATTGGAGTAAAGTGCCATGCAGATTTAAATTTCCCACTTGTGACGAATGCAGCTATCGATTTTTTTTGCATGCTAGCATGCTAGTTAATATTCGTGTCAGTCAGCTGTTGGCTCTCACGCTGGCCAATAGAATCTTCCTGCCTATTCGTTGCGGCCAGCTATAGGCTCTCACTCTGGCCAGTACAAAATGGCCGCAAACTACATGAAAACTGCCGTAGAAGCATGAAAAAATTGATTATTTCCACTATCGATGTGAGTTGGAAAATGCGAAGTCGGTCGTGGCCTTTTCGCTAACTTGGAGCATGTGCATCTAAATTTTGCAGCAAATCCGTCGAAACACACACACACACACCTGACTTATATATATATATATATATATATATATATATATATATATATATATATATATATAGATAGATAGATAGATAGATAGATAGATAGATGTAGATTAATGGACAGTCGCTGTTAAGAACATATAAAATCTTGGCTGGTTGGTATGTTAAATATTAATTTCGTTATTAACCCAAGCGACATTGCTATCGATCTTGTCTCTCTGTTTAATTCTATAGTGAAGTATTTGCACTTCCAATAATAGGGTCTTAGGGTTCGTGCAAAATCTGAGCTTAATAACTTTATTATGAGAATAGTTATGTATTGAAATAGATATCATCCACCACACGATAATGTAAACGTGCATATCTCTCTCTCTTTCTCTCCCGTATATATATATATATATATATATATATATATATATATATATATATATATATGTGTGTGTGTGTGTGTGTGTGTGTAGAAAATTTTGTATGTAATCCCTGACGGAGTTAAAAGTTTTTACAAATGTCAATATATATATATATATATATATATATATATATATATATATATAAAATGTCTACTTTACAAAAATACATATAGATGAATTAAAATGTTTTTCATATATATATGCGTGTGTTTGTGTGTTCGCGTGTATTTTTGTTTGCTATCTACAGATATACATATACATGAATTAGTATCTCCTATATATATATATATATATATATATATATATATATATATATATATATATATATATATATCTTTTTCGTATATAATGCAAACAGCAGTTAATTTTTATTCAGAAAGGTTATTTAACCCACTTACTCTGTATCCATCTCTTTAT